CAGTGACAGAACGGAGATTATAAGCGATATTTCTGCCTCGAAGCGTTCTCCAGGCTGTCGGGAGCCAGGTGAGAGGAGAAATCTGTATACTGTAGCCCTGCAGCAGTGCCCTGAGTGGGGGCAGGCTGGGGTCCCCTTGGACTGTCCCTCCTCCCTCCAGTGTATCCCCATCAGTGCCTGAGTGGGGGTGGGGTTGGTTACCCGCCTCTGTTGTCCGTGTGCTTCCTGTCTGTGGGGCCCTGGTCCCTCAGTGTCACCGGAGGGGTGGCAGTGGAAGCAGAGGTACAGCTAGAGCACAAAGACAGACTAAAAAGCATGTGGTTGGGACGCCTGGGGGGCTCAGTGGTTGAGCGTCTGCCGTTGGCTCAGGGCATTGATCCCCGGATCCTGGGATCGAGTCCTGCATCGGGCTCCCCGCAGGGAGCCTGCTTCTCCCTCTGCCTGTGTCTCTGCCTCTCTCTGTGTGTCTCTCATGAATAAATACATTAAAATTCTTTTTTTAAAATTTTTATTTATTTTATATAGTCACACAGAGAGAGAGAGAGAGAGAAAGAGGCAGAGACACAGGCAGAGGGAGAAGCAGGCTCCATGCACCGGGAGCCCGACGTGGGATTCGATCCAGGGTCTCCAGAATCGCGCCCTGGGCCAAAGGCAGGCGCCAAACCGCTGTGCCACCCAGGGATCCCAAATACATTAAAATTCTTAAAAAAAAAAAAAAAAAGAACATGTGGCTGCAGCTGCACCAGGACATCAAAAAGGAGCTCTAGCCCCTCAGTCTGAGAGGACACAATTAGAAATAGAGGCTGAAGGAGCAGACAGGCAGGGCTCCTAGCCTTCCAGCCCCTGACCCACACCCTCTCCCCCACCACCACTGCCACTGTGGACTTGGGCAGAGGAGGGGGCGGTGAGGCCGACAGCCAGAAGCAGCTGCCTCCACACATTGGAGGGTACAATTATTTCCGTATTATCTAGGTTGTGAGCACCTCCAAGACAGGTAGAGAGAGAGAGAGAGTGTGTGTGTGTGTGAGTGTGTGAGTGTGTGTGTGTGTGTCTATGTGAGATCTTTGCATGCCCAGTCAGTCCCCAGTACATGGTAGGTTTATAATACATGGAGGCTAAATTGAAGCAATTTGCACCTGCTCAGAGGGGTGGATGAAGGGAGGAAGGAAGAGTATAAAGCTCCCCAAGAATAGAGCTCTCATCTGCCAAGTGGACCCCAGACACCTGGGGAAATGAGGCAGGGGTGCCGATATCAGCAGAGCTCCCAGGAAAAGCCCACCCTACAACTCAGGGCACATCCACTTCTGCTTTCTTCCGGGGGCCCAACATTTACTCAGCACTTACTACTGCGGGCACGCCCTTTGGATTGGTAAGACGTACAAGAGCAAAGAGAAGTGGGGAGGTTGGAACCGCAAAATGTCAGGGTCTGGAGTCAGAAGACATGCCACTTGCTGGCTGTCTTTTGAGGCAAGCCCAGTACCTAAGCCTCATTATCCACATCTGTGAAATGGGGACAATCACCTGGCAAAGAAAAAGTCATCACTCGTACATTGCAGATAGGATGTGAATTGCTGTGACCTTCCCACAAGTAATTTGTTAAAATTTTTTTTAATGAACATACCTTTGGATTTGGCAGCTCCACATCTAGAAGCTTATTCTACAACAACGATCAAGTCTGGAGCAATATTCAGCTATAAGAATGGGCATGATTTATAATAGCAAAAACTAGAAATAGTCTAAACAACAAACGATAGAAATTTGGCTGAACAATTATAGTGCATCCGTAAATGGAATGCCATTTAGCCACTAGGATTATAATGTATATTTTCCTTATCTGGAAGGTATATATATGTTACAAAAATAAAAAGCTGACTATAGAACAGTCTATATGGTGTGATACTGTTTTTAAGAAAGAAGAGTGTTTTTTTTTTTTTTTTTTTTTGAGAGAGAAGGAGAGAGAGGCAGAGACACAGGCAGAGGGAGAAGCAGGCTCCATGCACTGGGAGCCCGACGTGGGATTCGATCCCGGGTCTCCAGGATCGCGCCCTGGGCCAAAGGCAGGCGCCAAACCGCTGCGCCACCCAGGGATCCCGAAAGAAGAGTTTTAATTCTACATATTAACTGTGGTTCTCTCTGTATTGTGGGCTTACAACTAACCTAAACTTTCTTGCTCTTATTTATCTATTTGGTGTGGATCAGCTTGTATTGTTTTGTAAAGATAATGAAAATTTAGTTGTATTAAAATAGTGACCTTGAGAGGTGGCTGTAAGAGTTAAAGAAGATATTACATATGAAAGTGCTTTGTAAACTGAAAAATGACAGACATCAGACAGGGTCTCTGCCCATGAGGAGCTTACAGTTTGGAAAAAGATGAAAGACACCAAGATAACTATAGCATGAAACAGAATGTGGCAAGAGCTTCCAAAGAATGATAAACAGCATGTTACTTGGAAACAGAGGAGGTAAAATTACTTGTGGTTCTAGAGGAAAGAGCCAGAATGTTTGAGTTGAATACTGACGAATCGTTAAGGTCCTGCCAGGTAGAAATATAGAACCGGGGCAGCAGGGGAAGCGGGAAGCTGTGGCACAGGTTTGGAGAATGGGAAATGCTTGCGTTTGGATGGAGGGCAGAGAGCCTATGGGTAATGGAGCAAGAGGAGTCCAGCCGGGCAGTTGGGGGCCTGGGGGCCGGCCTGCACACACCTTGAAAGCCGCACTTGGTAAAATGCCATCTGGGAAGCTTTGTTGGTGCGTTCTGAGAGTAGGGAGTCACTGAAAGTTCTGGGGAAGGAGCTGACACCGCAGCAAACCCCTCAGGGGTGGGGAGGTCCTGCCTCATGGTATGGGGCTGGGGAAGGAGGAATGGGACACCTCTCCTGGGTGCTGCCTGGGAGGCCAGAGAACTGGGAGCCATTCACAGAATCCACCCAAGGCCCCGGGGAGGAGAAACGGGCTGCGGGTGTGGGGACAACAGTAATCTGGTGCTCAGGACCTGTTCTCCCTCCGTTGGTCCTGATCCCTTGGGCCTCTCTGTCTTAGGCTGTCCCAAGGCGACCTGACCTCCTGCCGCTTTGAATGTGTCTCTATTCCTTAGCTCCTCTTGGGAGGAGCCTGGGGTGTGGACAGAGGGTTTGTTTCAACCCGGTAAGCTTTTGTTAATGGAAATACATTAAGCAGCTGGCCTATTGTGGAAGCTTCTCTTGGCTCATCCCATCCTCCGAGCATGCCCCAGCTTACTCTTTCCTGCAGGCGAGAATTCATACCCCCTCATCCCGGATGCTGTGCCTCTGCCACCCTCACCCCTAGCAGTGCCTGTGTTGGTGCGCACATGTGCACACGTGTGCACACATGTGCACGCACACACATACACACACTGGAAGGAAGACAGGAAAGTCTTGTTCAGGCAAATGTCTAAATTTCCATTTCCCCACTGCAGCTCGCAGCCCAGGCCACTGTTTAGCTCCTCCTGTTGTCATGTCACTAGTTAATTACATTCTTTACTGAGGTGCAAATGTGTTTTTACAAGGAGACTACGATGGTGTTAACTAGGGAGGAACTGTGAATGTTACAGATGCATTCACCCCTCGTCTAAGGCTGGGGCTCTTGGCTGGCAGTGCTGCCCGATGCTGCCCTGAAAAGGCAGCCCAGGCATTTCAGCAAGCTGCCCTGCTCCCGCGCCGTCCCGTGACCCTGCCCTCACAGCCCCAAATGCAGCCTCCTTCAAATCAAATTAGCAACTGGATCCACAAGGAGAAAACTAACCGACACGAGTGTCTGGGAAGTGTCAGGCCAGGCCTTAGAACAGTGCAGACCACCAACCTCAGTTTCTGAACATCGCAGTTCATTTTAAATATTGAGAACCAAAATAATTCACTTCGATCTAAAAATAAATCAGTAAGTAGTACAGTCAAAGCCAAGTTTAGGCCAAGGCTGTCGTTCACTGCCCGTCTCTGCTTGGGGTCCATTGACCTCCTGACTCTTCCTCCCTGCTGCCCCCCCCACACACACCCAGTGTGGTCCCCAGACCCCCAGCGAAAGCCTGCCACGGGAAAAGGATCAGAGACTCAGCCGCACATCTGAAGAGTTTGCGACTGCTACTCTTCCTTTGAGTTTCCTACAGTTTTTTATTTTATTTTTTTTTAAGATTTATTTATTTAAAGAGAGAGAGTGGAGGGGAGAGGCAAAGAGAGAGAGAAACTCAAGCAGACCCAGTGCTGAGCCTGATCTCAAGTGGGGCTTGATCTCAAGACCTCGAGATCAAGACCTGAGCCTTTGAAACCAAGAGTCAGACACTCAACCGACTGTGGCAACCAGGCACCCCAAGTCTTCTCCAGTTTAAAACAAGAAGCCTTGGGCAGCCTGGGTGGCTCAGTGGTTTAGCGCTGCCTTCAGCCCAGGGCCTGATCCTGGAGACCCGGGATCGAGTCCCATGTCAGGCTCCCTACATGGAGCCTGCTTCTCCCTCTGCCTGTGGCTCTGCCTCTCTCTGTGTGTCTCTCATGATTAAATAAATCTTTAAAAATAAAATAAAATCTCTAAAAAAGAAGAAGAAGCCAGCTCCGCCCTCCCCAGGGCCCAGAATCACTCAGGCACCTGCCCACACTTTGGGGGAGAGAGGGCCACATGGACAACTGATATCAGGAAACCAGCTGGGGTGGGGGGGGCACTTGATGGGGTGTTATGCTATATGTTGGCAAATCGAACTCCAATAAAAAAGGATACCAAAAAAAAAAAAAAAAAAAAAGGAAACCAGCCAGGTGAGGACAGGGCACTTGCAACTTAGGCAAGGATTTGGGCTGTACAGTGGCTGGTGGGCCTGAGCCGCTACACCTCGGGGAGAGACTGGCGTGGTACATATGGCAGGGAGGTCCGGGGAGCAGATAGAGTGTATCCCTCATAGCCAGAGCAGGTGCCCCCATGTTCTCTGATCACCCAGGGCCTCGAACCCCTTCTGAGAGCCACTCTGCCCTTTTTTTTTTTTTTTTTTTTTTTTTTTACAGGTGCTTTGGCACTAGCTGACAGGAAGAATTTCTGGCCCAGCTGGGAGTGAGAAGGAGTGAGTCTCCTGAGGGCCATCCTCGAGTCCGCCAGGATCACCCGAACAGTAAGAAATGCTTCTCCATCCCTAAACACATAGTTATGCCTTCCAGGCAGATGATCTTTTCTTCTGAAAACCTCGAGAAGCAACCCATCCCATTAGCTGGCACTTAGCATACACAACCTTGGAACTCGCAACACCAAATCACCAAATTATTTTTTTTTTCATGTCTTTCCTCCTTAGCTCCTTCAGGGCAGGGCCAGAGCCATACCTTGTCCCTTTTACCTCTCTTTTCTTGTACGTAGTCTGGGAACAATAAAGTGCTGTCGATGCAGATGGATGGGCTGTTGCTTACATCCACAATGATACTGACATTTGTATAACCTTCTGGAGCAAGCACTATCATCTAAGAATCACGTAGGGGTCTTTGTTAAGATGTACCACCTGGACCTCACACCAGAGCATCTGATTTTCTAAGCCGAGGTTAAGACCGGGAGCCTGCACCCCAAGTGTTTTTGATGAACACAGAAGAAACTGCATCCCAGGTGTTTCTGATGAACTCTGAGAAATAGTTCTCTAGGATGTATAAGGCATGTTGAATGGAGAATCTCCTTTAATCCTCTTATCAGATAGGGTTTTTTTTAAATCCCCTTAAGTAACTTCATGATCTCAAAGACATAAGTATCAGTATAGGCAGGGATTTAGAAATCCAGTTATCCAAAACAACCCTTTTTTCTTTCCAGTATGCCATGATAAGGGCTGGATCTGTTGTGGTGAGATTGGGCCCCAACTCCAAAGGACACTGCCCAGGACTTTGTAAGTTTCCCTGCTGTCCCAGGGCTGCCATGATCTTATAGTTCATCAGCTTTCATTTGGGGGGCAGGAATCATCGCCCAATTCCTCACAAAAGCTGGTTTCCCTGGAGAGAGGGAGAGGAAGACAGTGAGCCAGAGAGGTGAATGTTGCTGGGGCCAGCTCCCCAAGTTAGCAAGGCCACAGATATTCCAGAGGATCACATGGGCAGAAGGGCCCACAGTGCTTGTCCTGGTTCCTATGCCCTCTGGCCATTTGGGGAGCTCTGTGTTGTAGGTGCCTTAAGGGGTGGGCAGCATGCTGAAGCTCCAAGAGGTATAGACCAGAGAAAAAGGCCTATGTAGGGGGCTCAAGTCTTCATGCTAAGTGTGGGTTTGGCAATGCCCATTTCAGGGACGTGTTGACCATCTTTTCAACAACCTTCGGAGTCTGCGTACCCAGCAATGTCAAGGGAAACCACTGCAGGAGATAGTTATGGCTTAAAGAAGATGGGAAGATGTTAAAGAAAAAGAAAGAGAAAAAGGGGACAGGGTTAGAGACTACTGGTGAACCAGTGTGGATGGGTGTTGTTGCCAAGTCCAGTGGCTTTCTCTGGGACTGGCCATTGCACTGAGCTGCTTCTCACTGAGCAACTCGGTAGAGTCCTGTTTGTCTCCACGTGGAGGCTGCAGATGCCAGAGTCCAAATAGGCCAGGGCATGCCTGGGAGAATGGAGGCAGCCCTGCCCTCCTTACGTGCTAGAATCAAGGGAAGGATGGAAATGGGTTGAGGGACTGCTCACGCCTGTGGCGGGTTGCATCTTGCCATGGAATGGAAAGTTTGCATGGATGGCAGAGAGGCGACCTCACAATGCACCTCCTGACCTCCCCCTCAGTCTCCCCCCCCCCCACACACACACACCAGACTCTCTTGCTGAGGCCCAGCCTGGTCTGTTCCGGGGACTAAATGCAGTTGACACCGTTGCTTGGGTTGGTGCAGTCGGCAAGGACAATTTTTGCAGCTAATGCTGGAAGTGTGGCAATCAGAGGAGCCGCCAGCTGTCTCACTTAAATTCTTAGCTCTCTCGCTCTCTTTTTTTAAAATCGTTTTGCTTACATAATCCACCCCCTTTTTATTTTCTAATTCTCTCCTTGCAAAGCTGGCACCAGAGGGGAAGGGCTGGGGCGGAGGGGGTAGCAATTACACATCAGTTTGGGGAGCATTTACATTTTGCAATTACAATTTAAAAATAAGCCCCGTTAATGATCTCCACGTGTCAACGACAAACCCTAACTGCCATACCCTCCTGGGCTTGCCTGCCTCCCCCCGAAGTCAGAGGCTCAGTGGAGGCAGAGGGACCTAGGGAGACACAAGGGAGAGGCCGGGGACAGAATCTGCGGGCCGCTGGAGACTCAGTGTGCCCTTGAGGCTGGTGGAGGACAGGGGTGGAGCTGAGCACCCACCTAGAAACCTAGAATTTGGGACTCCAGCATCCCTCTTCTCCCCACACTCATGCTCGGCCCCAGCCCACCTCATCCCCGCCCTGACACAGCAAGACTATGTCCTCGGAGTTGACGGTCAGAGCTGGGAGAAAGGGAGCCTCCACTGCTGATCTAGACCCTCCGAGGTGGGAATTTTGTGAGCCCTCCTGGGCAAACGTAAATCCTAGTCCCCAGGCACCTGGACCTTCATGGATCAGGTGAAGGGACTGATGACATATGCAGGGCTCGGCCAGGGAACCAGAGTAGGTGTACCGCAGTTTGGGAAGGACTTATAATTGACCAACACATATTTCATGAAGTCCTCTGATCCCTTGGGCTGGGACTTTGGAACCGGACACACCCAGACTCAAATTCTAGCTCTGCTATTCGTTGGCTGTGAGATTTGGGGCAAGTTAATTAACTTAAGTCTTCTGACCCTCACTGTCTTTATGTGATTGGGATCATCATAGAAGGCTTCTTTGAGGATTAAATGAGATAATGTACTAGAAAGCACCTCACCCAGCGGCTGGCAGGCTGGCGCTCCGTAGATGTCCCGTCAAGCTCAGCATCTCACCGAGCTTCACAGAGGAGCCCCAGCACACTTCCTCCTGCCACCTTTCCAGCCACTGCGACACTAAGGAAGGGCGATCTGGTCTGACTTGGCCGGGTCTCCCCTCCAAGTCAAGCCATCTGCACCCTGAACATCTCCTGAAGGGCACCCATACCCCCTCACATGCACCCCCGCCATCTCCCTGTAGGATTCTCAGCAGAGCCTGGGCCTCAAGCCTGCCTTCCAGCCTTCCACTTCTCCCGGGCTAGCTCCCGACTCTGGCGTCCAACAGCCCAGTTCTCTTCTTTGGACACGACTTCAACGGAGTGACCTTTCATCGGCCCCCCCCTATGTCCTTTATCTGTGAAATGAGGGAGGTGGGCCAGGAGCTCTCAGGTGCCTTTCAGTCTTGACATCCGTAAGGCTCTGATGCTTCTTCTCCGGCAGCTTCCTCCCGGCTGGTTCCTGGCGTGTAAGGCTTTCATCTCCTGAGCAGCTTCAGCATGGCCAGTCTTGGGATTGATCACATATTGTCAAAAAAACATACATTTGTCCTTGAAACATACATAAAATAGCTCTTTCCTGGGGCAAAACCAGAGATGCATCTTATAAAAATCTGAGACAAGGAAGCCTTCCGAAAGCAGGCCCCTTGGCATAGGGCAGGGAACACAGAGAGGGACTATATCTTATTGGCTCGGGTGCTTCGGTATTATGTTTTAAATACTTTTCTAAAACCTTGCTTTTTTTAACCTAGGCTGTATAGTGGGCAGCTTTCCAGGTCAAAATAAATAGCTTGGCTCTGTTATTTTTAACTGCTGCGTAGTATTCTCTTCGGTGGATGTTTCATTATTTATTTGAGGTATTTTTAAAATGAGAAGTAAAGTACATACGTGAGGAAAAAGCAATGAAAAAGAAATGAAATAGAATAAAAAGGGCCTGGGGTACCTGGGTGGCTCAGCCAGTTAAGTGTGTGCCTTTGCTCAGGTCATGATCCCAGGGTCCTTAGGGGGCGGGGGGGGTGTCGCTACTCAGTGAGGTGTCTGCTTCTCCCTCTGCCCCTCACCTTGCTCATGCCTTCTCTCTCTCTCTCAAAAATAAATGATAAATTAAAAAAATAAAAAATTAAAAGGGTCCCTTCCTTCCCCACCTCTATCCACAAGGTCCAAATGACCCAAAGTCAACTACAATGAATAGCCTCTAATTTTAGTTATTTGGTGGCTAGTGTTTATAATGTCATATAATATACATTAGTCCCTCTTTCTTAATTCACGTCTTTATCTATTCACCCCCTGCCATGAAAGCCAGGAAAATTGGCATACATTCTCCCCTTCCAATTTGGATCAGTTGGATAATTTTTATTAAACCATATTTGACACTATCTATGTTTATATATAGTATCATATAGAATACAGTGTGTATGTATATTACATGGTAAATATTATATAGTGCATAGCATTATATAGAATTCACTCATATTTATTGAGTATAATAGTAGTTTTATAGACTTAGAAGATTTGTTTTAAAGATTTAGAAGATTTACAGCCCTATCACTATAGTTCCCTCTGCATTCCAACTATAGGTTGATTGTAAGATGGAAATATTATCCGACCAAGACACCTGGGTGGTTCAGTGGTTGAGCATCTGCCTTCAGCCCAGGGAGTGATCCCTGGGTCCTGGGATCAAGTCCTGCATCAGGCTCCCCCACCAGAGCCTGCTTCTCCCTCTGCCTGTGTCTCTGCCTCTCTTCTCTGTGTGTGTGTGTCTCTCTTGAATAAATAAATAAAGTCTCAAAAAAAAAAAAAAGAAATATTATCCAACCACAGAACTAAATTGTGTGATTTGACCGGGAAAAGGAAATGGAGCCGTCTATCGTTACCACGTGACCACTGCAGGAGAATCTGAGAGCCCCTGGCGGTAACCGCCTGCCCCCATTCCCCTCCAGCTCTCTCCCTCCCGCGGGGACACACCAGGCTGCCCCGAGGTCTTGTGTGGATGCAGTCCTCTTGCTTGGATTCCTCCTCTAATCATTAGAGGATACCACCTCTAATGATTTCTGATATTGATGGGTGGGAAATAAACTCTGAGGTCTTATGCGTCCAAAACAGATTGCATTTCGCCTTTGAACTTGATTGATATTCCGATACAACTCAGAATCCCATATTTAAAAAGCCTTTTGCTCAGGGCGCCTGGGGGGCTCAGTCAGTTAAGCAGCTGCCTTCAGCTCAGGTCGTGATCCCAGGGCCCTGGGATCGAGGCCACATCGGGCTCCTTGCTCCGTGGAGAGCTTCTCCCTCTCCATCTGCTGCTGCTCCCCTTGCTTGTGCGCTCTCTCTCTCTCTCGCTTTCTCTCTCCCCCTGTCCAATACATAAATAAAATCTAAAAAAAAAAAAAACCTTCTCTTAGGTTTTGAAGACGTTATTCTCTCATCTTGTATTTCCGATCTTGCAATAAGAATTAATGAAAACTTCTGGTTTGCTTTTCCTTTGTAAGTTCGAAAACATCACCATCGTGTGCTGAGGCTTGACATTTTGTTTGCTCCTTTCTTTTTTCTTTTTTTTTTTTTTTCATTACTCCTGCCCAGGCCCTGGGACCACTTTCAATCTGAAATCAGCGGTCTTGCTTCAGCTCAGGGAGATTATCATTTCGTTATTTCTTCGTTTATCCTGCTCCGTTGTCTGTTTCCTCCTGGCACCTCCACTGCCCAGCACAGAGCCTGGTGTGTGGTAGGTGCTCAGTAAATGCTTATCGGATGTGTTTCTTGGGACCTGGATTCTAGTTAGGTCCCTATTTTCAACTTGCTGCATGGACTTGGACAAGTTTTCTCATTTGAACAGAGAGGTCAGACCTCATGACCACTCAGGATGCCACAACCCTGCCACTCTGGCAATCTCCCTGGAGCCTTGAGACCTAGAAGCTCCTGGAATTGGGAAAGAAGGTGCAGAGTGAGAAGTGAGGGGAAGGCAGAGGTCAGGCAGTAGGGCAGCCACAGTGG